TAATAATCAGATATATAGAGATTAGAAACGCATGTGCAAACATCTTAATGTCAATTGCATTAAAAATGAATTTTTCTGTATGAAATTCTGTATTTTAATAATGAAACGGAGATCTTTTCTAAAGGTTAAAACCTCATTTAATTTTATGTCCTATACAGTTTATACTGTGTACAATATTGTATAACTGTAACAATTCAACTGTAAACCTAAAAATTTACAGCCAATCTTGAAAGAGATGCATCTTAGCTCAGAAAATTGTTATTGAATATGTCAATGCTGTTGTAATGAAATGTTTCTTCTAAGTATGTGGTTATTAAATAAATAAAAAAGACCTCTAACAACAACAACAACAATAATAATAAAAGTAAAATATTTTTAAAAAGAGCACTTGTAAAGGATAGGAATTTGGTTCCAGCACCCAGGTCAGGCAGCTCACAACCACCTATAACCCCAGTTCCAGGGGATCTGGTGTCTTCTGGCCTCTGCTCCCATGCACAAACCCACACACTTCAATGGTAATGTTTATCACCTCTACTAATTAACATGACGTAAATTTTTATGCTTCCTCTTCAAATATAACTCATTTTTTAACTTGATTTTTTTTTGTGTATATTACACAGAACATCCCAAACTATCTTATTCATCTATACATCCACTTCCCAGATGGTACCCTCCCATAGCCTCCCCCACCCCCACTAGAGCCCTTATACTCTGTCATCCCTACTACTGTCTTCTGTGTTGTCAGAGGCCAACAATCTTGATAAAGAATTAATCATTTCTATGTGAAAAAAACAGTAAACAGTAACAGCAATAGAAGTTCAAGGAGTTGACTATGATGGAGTCTAGCACTGGCTAGCTTTTCTCTGTACTCCTAATACCAGAAAATGGCAGATATTTTGATTTCTTCTGTATAAGGTCATTGTGCCAGTATGTATTTAAAATTCAAAGGGGTAAGTTTCTTATTTCTCTTTAAAAGGAAACAGATATTAGTAGATTTGGCGAATTGCTTTACATTTTGTGTTGACTGGACTGAGAATTGTTGGGAAACCCTGCTGTTAGGGTTGTAGTTCTCCATGTCCGGATAGCCCTAAGGGGCTCAGCGCCAAATGGAAGGACTCCCCTTTTCAGCAGGGGGCCTCCTGCTCTCTTCATGGCTTACCTGGAAAGTGTCACCAAGCACGGATGCCTGACCTTATTTGGAACATGACCTTTGCCATAGTTACCTGGAGTAAAAACTACCC